CAGGACAATCTGCCTCCTCCCTCCGCTCCTCTCCCCTTAGCCTCAAGCATGTATTCGCCTCCAGAGTATATCTCAATTTGCAGGAGCCCTTTTGCTTCTGATCAGGCATATTGGGGGGTGGGGACAGTGCCAGACCACTACTGTTAACTCAGTAGCCCTACTAGTAGCACCCGGGCCAGAAGCCAGATTCACATTCATGACACTCCCCAGCGATTCCCTTCCTTTTCCCTGTGAAGAATAGAGTGTGGGTCTGTGGGACAGCATTTGTCTCACATTTAGGAAGTTCAGTTTGATTCCCCAGCGCGCACATGCACACACACACACACACACACACACACACACACACACACTGCTGAGAAGAGATTGGGGGTAGGGCACTCTTCACACCTCCCATGGATGCTGCTTGTGCTGATCTCAGAGCATCTGGATTTTAAGACATTCTCCCACTGGAGAGAAGAAAGAAGCCCATCTCCCACCTGCTGCACGGAGCACAGCCTGGCTAATGAAAAGGCAGATGGAAAATGTCCTTTGGGGACTGGGTCCTAAAACGCACGGCGGTTTCCTATCTGTCCTCTGACTCCACCTTGCTCCCTCATCCTTACCCCCTCTCCTCACCATGAGCAGAGCAGCCCAGCCAACAAGCAACAGACTAGGGCCCCAGCCAGCTCTGGGCACTTGGGCAATGTAATTCAGGTCTGAAGCCCATCAGCTCTTTCGACTGGGCCTAAAGGTGAAGCTCACCAAAGGGGACCTCAGAGAGTGGTTCAGAGGGCTGGGGAGAGGCGTGTGGTGCCCTATCTGGATTGCAGCAGGAAGAAGGGCACAGAGTCCATGCAATGGTCCAGTCCATGCTCTCTGTGGTTCTGGGTGCCGGTGCTGGTCTAGGATAGCAGGGCAGTACTGAGGCAGGCCTGGCTGGATTGGGGGAGGCCCAGTCTGGGGGACCCACTTCTCCATCAGGGCACTTACTCAGCCCCCCACTTCTTTACCCTGAAGTATTCAGCTGGTTCCTGACTGCTAGCTTTCTCTGGTGCCCGTCTCAGGGCAACTGCCATTCCCATTCCCTAGGCTTCTGTAGCTCTCAGCATTTCCTGACTAGGGGAAGAGTCACCTGTGGACAGAGATATGATGAGTCACTTCTGGGCTTCCCCAATATGCTGGCACCGAGGGAAGTCACTGACAGACACCAGCTGAATCAAAACTGTAACTCAGAGGGAGGACTTAGACAAGTCGCCAGCACAGCTGGAGTGAGGTATGGCTGGAACGTGTGGCCTCTGAGGTCCCTCTGTCTTGTTCCCAGGGCTGTCTCTTTCCTGGCATCCCCACCTACTCAGGGAGAGTGCCATGGTCAGGTTGCCCAGGATCATTTGGGTGTCCTCATTTGGTGACACTCACTGCTTGCCTAGTCTCATTAACTGTGCAGGCCTAGTCCCTAAAACCCAGTCGTGCACAGCCTCACCTTCTGGGCTAAGCTCTGGGCATACTCTGGAAGCCACCTTAGAGCTGTATCCCAGAGATCCACACATACTGAGGCTAGTGGGGTCTGAGCGTTGCCCTAACTGTCCTGGGTTCCACGGGGGAGGAAGTGAGGGGCCGAGACTGTGTGAGGGCTGACTGACGGAAAGCCAGAGTAGAGGAGACAGGTGGATGGGGAATGGCTATTTTGAAGGTAGAGCCGACACCAGACAGATGAGGTGATGAGAGTAACTATGTAGCTATGGTAAAAAAAATGTCCATGATGGCAGCAGGTTGGCATTAATGAAGATGGTAGTGGGAAAGGTGACTATGATGGGAAGAATGACCTAGACAATTCTGACACTGTAAAGGCACCATCAGTGGTGATGAAAGTCATAGGCGACAACGATGGTAATGGTGATAATTGGGACAGTGTTGCTGAGGGAGTTGAGGATGGTGGTTCTGATAGTTACAACAGTCATGGCAGTGCTGAGGAAGATGGCAGCAAGGATGATGTGGCTGGAAGGGTCGGGATGGTAACGCTGAGGATGGTGGGCATGGAAATAACAAGGTCGGTGATGGTAGCAATGCTGATGATAATGGTGGTGAAGCTGATGATAATTACAGGGGTGGCAATGGCGATAGTGTTGATGTGATGACGGCAGATGTCATAATCAGTGATAGTGATGATGTCACTGATGGTGACGGTGAGATGGCAATGGTCATGGTGGTAACCAGGGTGTTGGTGATGAAGATGGTGGTGGAGGAAGATAGTCATGGTGGTAATCAGGGTATTGGTGATGGTGATGGTGGTGGAAGAAGATGGTCATGGTGGTAATCAGGGTGTTGGTGATGAGGATGGTGGTGAAAGTAGATGGTTATGGTGGTGACCAGGGTGTCAGTGGTAATGATGATGTCGAAGGCAGCAGTGGTGATGATATTGGCAATGGTCATGGTGGTGCTGGTGATAGTGGTGAGGATAATGACAGCAATAGAATGTAAATGCCACAGGTGATGGGTTTGGCATGGTACTGTTGGGGATGGGGTTAGCATCAATATCAGATTGACTATGGTGACATTTTGTTTTGGAATAACATATTTAATGGGCACGAATTGCCAGTGACGGCAAGAATCCATCACTGGAGATTCCCAGGCCCAGGGGTCCTAAGTAGAGTGGGGCATTTCCCAGGACCATCTCAAATGTCTGCTTCTCCTAGCTCCGGTGCCATGTATGAGTTGGCAGGAGAAACTGGTTTGGGTGTGGTCAGAGTTGTCTCTGATGGCGGCTATGGTATGGCCTGGTCACTCCCCTTCTGCCCAAGGTGGAGGGCCTATGTGTCCCTGGCTGCTGCAGTCTTCCTTCTCAGGCTCTGCCTGTCCCAAGTGTCCTCAGACTTCACCTGAACAGATGATGATGGGGGACCGAGATGCTATAGCTTAGCACTCCCACTGCCCAGTGAGGAAATGAGGCCAGAAAAGGAGCTGTGGCAGGCCAAACCCAAAGGTGAGACCCTGCCTTGGGGTGGCAGTAAGCCCTCCTGTATGGTGGATGTTCCCTGGCTGAGTATCAATTCCTGGGGCCTGGGACCGGTTCTGGCCACACTCCCCAATCCCCGTGGTCCTCTTCTCTTTAGGCTCCCTGGCATGGCAGAGATGTGGAGGGCCCTGCGGGGAGCCCACCCACACACATTTCTTTTTTTTCCCCAGTCCGTGAAAGGTAGACAAGGAGGCTGGGAGGGAGGGAGGAAGAGGAGGGAGGTAGGAGAGAAGCCTAAAGAGGGCCTGGGTAACTTGGGAAGCAGCTTGGGCTTCCAAGCCGTTGTGCTGTGAGAATGAGCCACGCCAGGCTCCCGCAGCGTGGGAATCTGCTCCCCCTCCCGTTTTATTAATAAACCGGGGCAGCAGTGTCACTTGGCTCTCCTCGTAAACGTGTCACTCCACTGACTAATTCTTTTTAATTAGAAACAAGGAGACAAAAAGGCTTCATCCTTGGAGGCTTGACAATGTGGATTTCATGAGGCTGAGCTGCTGTGCCCACCCACTGTCCTGGCATCCCTGCTCCTGCACCATCCTGGAAGCTCAGCCAAGAGACCAGGACAACACTAGGTCAGATCAGGAGGCCTTGTACGCTGTGCTGGCCACAGAGGTCACTGTGCTACAGCCTCTGAGGGGTGCAGGAAGCTACAGTAACCCCTACACCCATTCTGGAGGAAGACACAGGGCTACCCATACTTGCTGAACATGCCCCCTGGCACTGAGATCCTAAGTTCTGTAACAGCTGAGGTGACACATGTGCCCATCCTCCCTGCCCTCCTTGGCACCCACTGCCACCGTGGCCAATCACCACAGGGTTACAGGCTTTCATTGGTCACCGTGCTACTTCACAGGTGAGGACTGAAGCCGGACGGAAGAACACGGAATGGTACTTGAGAAAAGGTTCAAAATTCATCAGGCCCTGAGCTCAGATGTTCTTAGCAAGAGCACACCTTCTTTAGTTTCTGAAATGTCTTCCCGGGTCATCAACAAAACCGCATCAGTAGCCGTGTGCCTTTAAGGGCAAGCTTGAAAGCCTTTCAAAACTACTGTTTCGAACAGCGTAGAACTGTTCTCTGCCCGGCTCTGGGGATGGAGCAAGGTTTTATCTAACTTAATGCCAAGTGATGTCCTCCAAAGACTGGGACAGGGTTTCCTTCTGACTACTGGACTAGCCGAAACCATCTGGGATCTTGCACCCCACTGATGCCCGCTCTGTGTTTGGAGGGAGGAGATGGGCCCTTCTGGACAGAGAACCCAACCTGCCTCACTTTCCAAGGTGTCATGCCCCAGGAACCAAAAAGTCTGGATTGAGGATCCATCTTTCTCACCAACCAGGGAGTCAGAATAAAGTCTCTCCAAGGACACAAGCAAAATCACACACACTTCACTCTGACTCTGAAATGCTAACAGTGGGGAAGCCTCCGGGAATGGAGGGTCATGACACAGAAGGGGTGGTGGGTGGCAATGGCAATGCAGATACCGGCTGTGGGAGCAACGGCAGGTGACAGTGTTGGGGTTGGCAGTATGGAGGTCAAGTTGCGGGTGAAACCGGAGATGCCAGTGTGGGGGGGTCACAGTGGGGTGCTGCGGTGGTCATGGACTGATGGAGTGGTGCACGGAGATGTGGTACTGGTGGGGACAATGATGGTGAGCAGGTCACTGGGATGTGGTGTCAATTGTGATGGTCACACCGTCAATGAAGGTCACAGCTGAGAAGCGGTTGTGATGGTCATCTGACCCCTGCAGTACCTACCTGCTTTCTAGAAAGTCCACACAACAGTGGGCTCCTCCCTCTGCTAGGCAGGGTGGGCTACTTCTCAGCTGGCCAGTTTGGGGCAGACCCCAAAGCTGACTTTCGTGAGTCCAAGGATCAAGTACCATGCCTGATGCCTGTGATACCTACTAGTAGTAGAAACATGCTTGCCTGGCCAGGAAATCACAGGAAGTGGAGAGAGACACACTGGGCTTCC